CCCCGAGCCCCCCGAGGGGACCCCCCAGGCCCCGCTGCCCTCGGACGACACCCGCACGGAGAACATGGACATCAGCAGCGACGGTGGGAGCGGGATTTAGGAGATTTAGGGGATCTGGGGGGGGGATTTAGGAGATTTGGGGGATTTGGGGTGGATTTTAGAGGATTTTAGGGGGATTAGAAGGGATTTTGGGGGCCTTTTAGAGGAGATTTTGAGGGATTTAGGGAGATTTGGGTGGGGAGTTAGAGTGGATTTTGAGGGATTTAGGGGAATTTTGGGAGAATTATGGGATTTTAGGGTTTTTATGGAATTTGGTTCCCCTGTGCCCATCCCAAGGAGCCGGGATCCCCCTGGCCCTGAAGGAGGATGAGGTTGAGCAGGAGCCAGGGTTATTTGTGGGTGGTTTTAGGGATTTTTGGGGTCGTTTTCTGGGATTTTGGGGTCCCCTGACCCCGATTGTCCCCCCAGATGAGGTTGCCCCCCCCGTGACCCCCCTGGCCCTGGAGGAGGATGAGGCCAAGCAGGAGCTTGGGGGATTTGGGAGTGTTTTTAGGGATTTTGCAAGAAATTTTGGGGTGGTTTTAGGGATTTTTTGGGGGGATTTTCTGGGATTTTGGGGTATCCTGACCTTGATTGTCCCCCCAGACGAGGCCACCCCCACCAGAACCCCCCCAGCCCTGTAGGACGACGAGGCTGAGCAGGAACTTGGGGAATTTGGGAGCGTTTTTCGGGATTTTGTGCAGGATTTGGGGATTTTTTGGGGGGATTTTCTGGGATTTTGGGGTTCCCCTGACCCTGATTGTCCCCCCAGATGAGGCTGCCCCCCTGGGACCCCCCCAGCCCTGGAGGAGGATGAGGCTGAGCAGGAACTTGGGGAATTTGGGAGCGTTTTTCGGGATTTTGCGCAGGATTTGGGGATTTTTTGGGGGGGTTTTCTGGGATTTTGGGGTTCCCCTGACCCTGATTGTCCCCCCAGATGAGGTTGCCCCCCCCGGGACCCCCCCAGCCCTGGAGGAGGATGAGGCTGAGCAGGAGCTGCAGCAGCAGCTGGAGCGGGGCCGGCGCCTGCGGCAGCTGCGGGAGCTGCGTGAGGGAGGGGGAGAGAAGGTAAGAACCCCCCCAAAAAATCCCCAAAAATCCCTCAAAATCCCCCTGAGAAACTCCCAGAAACCCCTCAAAAAACAACCCAAAACCTCACCAAAATCCCCCCACAAAAAACCTCCAGAAGTCTCACAAAACCCCCTCAAAATCCCCCCGAAAACCTCCCAGAAACTCCCCCAGAAGCCCCCTAAAATCCTACCAAAAAACCCCTAAAAGCCCCCTCAAAAACCCCTCAAAACCCCCTCTCCACAACACCGTAAAAAGCTCCCATTTAACACCCCTAAAACTGTTTATGGTGACCCTAAAATCTCTCTGAGGATCCCCGAACTTGCCCTCTCCAGCAACCCTAAAATCCCCCCAAAATCTTCTCCAAACTGCCCCAAAACTCTCCCAAACTGCCCCAAATCCCCTCCAACCCCCCCTTAAATCCCTCCAAACTTCTCGGGGCGCCTCCAAAACCTCCTTGTGGGACCCCCAATCCCAAAACCTCTCCCAAAGACCCCCAAAACCACCCCAAATTCCCTTAAGTCCCCCCCAAGATCCCTAAATCCCCTCTCAAATCAGCCCCAGATCCCCCCAAATTCCTCCATATCTCCACTAATTCCTCCATTAATCACCCCAAAACTGCCCGTGGCACCCCCAAAACCTCCTTGTGGGACCCCCAATCCCAAAATCTCCCCCAAGGAACCCCCGAAACCTCCTCAAATCCCAACGCCCTCCCCCAAAAACCCTACGGAGAACCCCGCTCAA